AAAATGGCGGCGGTGCCCAGCCCTCCCCTGGGGCCTGCGCGGCTCCACCCGCACCCCCAGTTCTCCCCAGGGCCGCTCCATGCAGTGGTTCATAGCGTTGGCCAAGCTTCGGGCCTGTGAGCTTGGCTCTTCCCTGCTGTCTCCAGGCCTGTCAGGCTGGTGAGCCTGTGCGCCGTTTTGTTTCTGTAGCGCGATGATGGGAGCTGCAGCAGCTGTGATGCTGTGAAGAGAAAGTGGGTGAAATTACAGCCCCTTTTTTGAGAGTTGCAGACTTAAGGAGCCTAAATCAGGCTAGGGCAGGCCTGCTTGTTCTCTGGCTTCGTTTCTGTGAGGACGCAGTGCAGAATGGTTATGTTGTGCCAGGTGAGCTGCTACTAGGCTGACAGAAACAACATTGGCTTGGTATGTCCATTTGTCTGTATCACTGTAGTCTACTACTGTTATCATAGCTGCTGACCTTGGGTTGATTGCAGTTTGGCTGTGTCTCTTCCAAATTCCTAAAAAAAAAAAAAAAAAAAAAAGGGGGGGGTGGGGGGTGGGGGGCAGGATTTGGTTAAGTTTCCCGCATGTGCAACATTGACAGATATTTCCCCCAACTTCTGTTCAGCTGTGACTCCCCAGGGAATAATTTACTGTGCTGTGTCCACTGCTTCCAAGTTCAATCCACAGCTGGCAATTGGAGGTAAAAAAAGTGTGAAATGGTATGGCTTCCTGCCCCTCAGCTACGAGGTCTGGCCCTGTCGCTGGAATCTAAGAGCGTAGAAAGCTGACAAAAGGTACTGGCCTTGAACAGACTTGGTACAAAGTTGCTCTAATATCAATTCAAAGCGGCTATCGTCAACTCACTTGATAGCTTCATTCATGTTAAATGACAATTAGTCAGTTATTGACATCTCAAATTTGGGCTATAATGTTGTTCAGTCACACAGTCTTACTAAAGGCTGTATTTTTTTCACTCATGCTTTAAGATTTAATTCAGCCAAGGAAATGACTTGAGCACCAAAAGTTGTTCTACTGGGTTAAATAAGCCACAACTTCCTAAAAATAGAGGTTTCTATAAAGATATATTGACAAATATTTCTGGTCCAGTTTTTAAAAGTAACAAGAAGTATCAAGTGCTTGTTTCATTAATACTTTTAATTAAGAACTCCTGCAGTGAATGCAGACACAATTAGCAGAGTAGAATTAATTTTCTGTGGAGCTTTCCATGCCACATGCTCCGAATGGAAAACGTGAGCCTGTCAGTCCTACCTGAAAACCTTGCATCCATCCAGATAGCCTGAGAAGCATGTTTATACCTCGATGAATTTAAAATCGGGGTCTATTTCGGAGCACGGTTTTAGTGGATTTCGAGGAAGGTTTTGGTTGTTACCTCCATGTGAGCAGCAGAGGGAGCCCTGGTTCTACAAAAGAGTGTTTGTTGCTCATCATGCCATAAACCAGGAAACACAAAAATTGTTGGTTTTTTTTGCTGCGCGGTATGTTCCCACAGATGAAGCTTTAATCTATATCGTACATCTCTGTTGCTGTAAATTCATGCTCCATTATACCACCATATGCTTTGCTTCAGTCAGAGAAAGCTGCAGTAATCCTAATACTTCATCTAGCTTTATAGATATGTGTTGTGTGTTTGATTGCATATTGTTTGCTCACACGCTTAAAGTTATGTCTTAATAAGTTGTTCTAAATTAGTTTGTTAGCAGTGAGCTGGCAGTTGATGAGGTTTTGTGTTTTCAGAAGGTATCATTGTAGTTATTGTCAATTATAATTTGAGATTCAGGAAGCAAAAAAGGAGAATTTGGTTCGTTAAAAAAAATCTGGAGGCATGCAGCACGGCGCTTTAGGTTGTATTTAATGTTTGGCTAGTCAGCTGCTTAGTTTCTTTTTCATCTGCTTAGAGGTATATATCATTACTTCTGCAAACTGGACAGCTCTTAATGTGAAAACACGGAGGAGTAGCTACAGTTCTTTATACGGGTTGAGTTGCTTTATAGTGTTCAGGACTTCTAATTGCGATGCAGAAGTCATGGATTCCTGAAAGTTTTACACACATTTGATATGTCCACAGCATCCTGTGTGTCATTTGTATTGATAAAGAATAGTAAACAGAAAAGAAATGCTTTAAAAATACTTTTTTTCTATTTTTAAAACTTATTTTCTGATAACTGTGCATCTCTTAGAGTGCAACCTAGTATATATTATATATCATATGTCATATAAGTACTATATAATTATGTTAACTACATTACATAACAACATACTGTGTGTAGAATAGAGAATGTTACATATCGCTAACTAATCTCTCTATACAATATACATATTTTTTTAATATAAATATATAGTGTATAATTTAAAAAATATATTTTAAGAGCCTTATTTTGGTATATCCTGCTCTGAGGTACTGAAACAGATACAATTTTCCAGTGCAAACTGGGCTACTGAATGCCCACAAGTTGAATGATGCTTGAAAATTTGGGCTTTCTTGTTTGGCCAATGAGGGCCTAAAAGGCAAAGAATAGGATTCCGTTGTGGTAGTTAAGTTTTACATAGCATTGTGTGGCTGGGATTTCGTTCCATCTGAGACATCAGGTCAAATTTCATAGATATGAGTATGTTGGAAGTTCAATAGGAGTTAAAATTCATGTCATTGAAAGACAAGGTTAATCTAAACACAACTGGTGTGGTATCAATTCTAGTAGTTTTATAGCATCTTTTAAGATACCTAACCATCTGAAGTTGTTTATTAATAATGACGTACATTGTTCTAGAAATACTGCATCTTACATATTCTGATACAGTATTAATTCTTCCCATTGTCAGTCACAGCAAACCTTGCTAAATAACATGAGATTGGTTGTTATCTCATAAGCTTAGACTGGTGTAGCTATACTGACCTCACCTAAAGAATACTCAGTGTTTATTGGCTAGATTTTGTCTGTCTTGTATGGTTGTTAGCAAGTCAAGTAATTTTTTCTGAATGCTCACATTTGGTACCAGCAGTTATAATGCTGTTGGTGTAAAGGCTGTTGGGGTGAATAAGCAGGTAAAGATTACAGACAAGATACAGGGCAGAAAATGGAAAGGCTAAGCACGAAGAAGAGGACAGTTGATGTGTGAACCAAGATCCTTCATAAAAACAGTAACATGGTGAAATGTTCATACTTGAGTGTATGTTCATTTTGTTACATTCCCTTCGTTAAGGTTTTATGTTTACGAGATGTATGTGTGATCCACTCCATGACCTACTCCATTTGAAAATTCAGGTTCTGATCACAGATGCCATATTCAGGCTAATGTTTTAGGGGAGAGTTCCCTAAAGGAAACATTTTGTTACTCTGTCACTGTGATTCATTCTTTTTATTATAGCTATGTAATTTAGTGAAATTAATCCAAAAATTAATGCCTAAAGTCTTCTAGCAGAATTAATTTTTTTTAAAATGGATGAAAAATAGTTCACTCTGGCACTAAAAAAATAACATTTTTATAATGAGTGGAGAAAAATAATATTTTGGAGGTGAGTGGAATACTTTGTATTCTTTAAGAATGCATTTGTCAGCTGTGAAAGGTGCTCAGTATCATCTGGGTTGCAAGTAATAATGCACTACATGTACATTAGTAATTTAGTCGTTGCAGGAAAAGTTATCAGTACTATTTGAGATATGTAAAAATCTCAAGGATGTTAATTTTGATAAGCAGGTTCCTTCCCAGGCCCTTTGAGATTTAATTTCAAACAGTAGAGAGCTCAAGAAATGTTTCTGATTTTTTTTTTTCCACAAGGTTTTAATCACTATAAATAGTGTGTCTCTTTCAGTAATGCTTACATTAACCTCATAATCATCCTTAAAATGACACCAAATTATAATAATAACAGAAGAATGGCAATGCATGAATAAGCTAATGAACAAAACATCTCCTTTCTCAAGCAGTTGTAAATAAAATAAAATACAATACCTACAGCTATGACAACACTCTGCAAACTGTATATTTAGTACTTCTGATTGGAAGATATATTGGAATTCCTTGTTTGATGAAATCCTTGCTTAGTCCTCTCTGGCCTAAATTAAAATTTTAGTAAAAATTAATCACGTAAAAATCGCTATTGTAATTTAGAAGAAAATTAGCAAACATTGCAGTGCCTTCAAAATAAGCATTGCAAGATTTTTCTACCTTACAGAAACCAAAATAAGACACTTTTTAAAAAATACTTAAAAAAACCCCCAACCTGAATTCAGTATTTGATGTGAGAGAAATTAAGGAAAACTTACATTAACAGTGAAAATGAAATATATAATCTTAAATTATTAACAGTGCATTTTGACCTTCTAATTAGTTATTATATGATCACATCATGCCTCTTCCAAAGCTTACTGAAGCCATAGAAAATTTCCCCTTTAATTTCCATTATTCTATAAACAAACACGCTAAGGCTACTGATTATTTGCAATGCCACAGTCTGAATGGGTGCGTCAGTAGTGGAC